ACTGTGTACTGCTGCTGACATTTCCTTCATCTTATTTTGATCTACATCCCAGGTACATGTTCTGAATCTCGACGTCATGTAGAAGTTCAACTGAAATGAAATGAAATGGAAACACAATTTCGTTAGAAGCTTCATCTGTTGCAGCATTTTCATTATAATTGTTTGTAATCACTGGGCCCTTAATTAGGACTGTTATGTTAAGTAATTTAGACTGGTTGAACTTTAATTTGTAATGGTTTATGCTGATGAACTGTTAAGTGTTGAGTGTGTTCGTGTAGGTTTGTGTAAGAGTTTTTAGTAGTCAAGTATTAGTCGTAACTAAATTTGCTAAATTCCTGCTAGATTTAGTTAATTACCAGTTGAATGTTTCACAAATTCATTTTGATAAGTGATTCAGAGGTGAGAAGAACCTTAGGTAGTTTTCATTTTTCAATCTATGATAAAAAATATTGGCTTGAACTGTTTTGGGTTGACTTGAGTTCCAGTAATACGAAGGCATTATTTGGTCATTTGAGTTTGCATTGTTAATGTGTGTTGTGATTGGTAGGCGTGTATAAGTTTGCTATTTTAGATACTGGATTTGAACTGAATTTTGGCATGTTCATTCTCAAAGAATAAAATCACAAGCTTAGTCAAGTAAAATTCTGAAATTGTCTTTAAGCATTCCACAGGTTTGCCTTCGAATTTTGAATTACATGATTGACCTCTTGGCAGTTTTAGGCGTCAATCAACAAAATATAAGTGTGCATGCCATTGAACTCAATATTTTTAATTAGACTGATTCTGGGTTCATGTTAAAGGCTCAGCACGTGACTGCCTCTCTTGAAGTAAGATTGGGTCCTGAATCCATTTTGGGCCCAGCACCAAACGACTTTTCCTTTTCTTTCAGTCTTGAACGCAGGTTGCTTGCCAGGCGGGTTGAAACCTCTTTATTGGGCCAAGTTTATCATAGTCAATTTAGGATTGGCCTTTAAATAAAAATGACGAGATGAGCCTCGCTAAGCCAAACAAATAAATTACGGGCCCCTCAATAAATATCATATTAAGTACTTAGAATTCGGGACGGGCCGTTTAGCGAATTTCACGGCCTTCCCCTAAATAATAACTCGTTAGACGCTTTAGGCGCGTTTTAATAATTTACTTTCCTAAACTCGGGTGCGCATTTATGCGACCCAAATCCAAATCTCAACAAAGTCAAAATGTGTTAACAATAACGGGTGCACTGGTGCGACGTGGTTCGAGACGCATTTTTACGACGTTGCAATTCTTATAAAAGCGGTTTACTAATAAAGCATATAAGTAAAAAACATGTATAAAAATCAGATTTTTAGCCAATTATAATAATTTAAGCGACCGTGCTAGAACCACGGGATCCGGGGGTGCCTAACACCTTCCCTCGGGTCAACAGAATTCCTTATTCAGAATTTCTGGTTCGCAGACTCCAATTGGGAAGTCAAATTTTTTCCTCGACTTGGGATTCAAAATTAAACCGGTGACTTGGGACACCAAAAGCCAATCTTATCCCAAGTGGCAACTCTAAATCAAATAAATAATCCCATTTCGAATAATGTCACTTTAAATGGAAAAACTCCCTTATACATTTATCCTTCGGGGTAGCTGTGTAAAAAAGGAGGTGTGACAGCTCTGGCGACTCTGCTGGGGACAAGAACCCAGAACTTCGGTTCAGGGTTCAGAATTCGAGCTTAGATATATTGTTGTATTTGGCTTTATCTGATTTTCCTACACGTTTCATGCTAAATGTGCAAAATGTTGCTTTTTACCGCTTTGATATTATCTGAACTGTATATAAACCGTGCCGAAACCCTTCTCTTCTCACCTCCGGGGATGTGCTTACTGGTTGAGACTCCCTATTCTGTTAGTGTCAATACCCTGAAATAAGAAAGAGGCCGGACAAGTTACTAAGCCAGATGGCCTTTTGGTTCCCGGTACGTAGCCCCCTCCTCGACTCGAGTTGTCCGCTCGGGTACACAGTCTAGAACACATACCCAGGTTTTGAACCTAGAAGAACTTGACTTCATGCCGGATCCCTAGTAGGAACGCTTATCTGCATCACGTGCATTTTGACTTAGGGGACTCAACACAGGGGTTGGGTCCGTCTAGGACAGGTGTACCCGGAATAATGGACCATCCTGATGCATCCTACTTGTGCATTTATCTGTTTTGGACTCGCATGCTGACCGGCTTTGAATATCTGAAAAATTGAAAAACAAAAGGGGAAAAGAGAAAATAGTAGTGTGGAGAGTTAATTACCTATGTTAGAAAAACCAATGTCCAAGTAGTGCCGAAATGCTGCCGGATTTTTGAGACAATGAAAGGAAAAAGAAGAAAAGTTTTTTTTTTTTTAGTTTGTTTTGTTTGCCAATGGAAAAGAAAAACAAAAAGAGCTTTATTTTCAAATTAGTTCATTTTATTTGCCACTGAAAAAGAAAGTATAAAAAAGAATCTTGCTTTCAGAAATAGTGTATTCGCCAATAAAAAAAAAAGAAGAGTCTTGTTTTCAACAATAGTTAGATTTATTTACCCGAACTACGCTGGTTTGATTCTCACCAGATGTGAGATACGTAGGCAACCCTCATCGGGTCCAACCTCCCCTTTTTCAAAAATAGCCAAAAAATGCCAAAGTTTAATTTCATCATGATTAAGTCGGGTGCCGCCATTCTTGTTTAAAATAAGCCGAATGTCCCTCAAAAGGACGCCGGAAGGCTGTTTTTGCAAGAAACAACCACCCCGAGTCATTTTTAAACAGTTAGCAAGCACAGCCTTAAAATCTTCTTTACGAAGTGCTGAAAGGCCGTATCCGCAATACCGGCTGTTTGTTTAAATTGGACATTTGAACAGAGATTGTGCCATTTTTCTCTTTTAGGTCAATATAAGTGATTAAAATCACCTTAATAAATGTGCAGGATGAGCACGACTCAAAATGAATTATTTTCAATCATGCATAAAATCCCTTTGGAGTTACGTCTGTGGTGGAACGATTTAGGCGGAGAAGGGCAAGATGCAGTCAAGAAACATTTAAAGGGCTTACCGGTTTGCTCGATATTGTGCCTCGGGGAGATATTATTAGAGCACTGGTTACATGTTGGGACCCAGCACATAATGTGTTCCATTTTTCGGACTTTGAGCTTACCCCGACATTAGAGGAAATAGCTGGCTACATTGGAAAGGATGAGGTTCCGTTGAGGCACAAATACTTGGTTGCCCCCAGAGTTGTAGCCGTGCACAGATTTCTAGACTCTTTGAAGATAGTCAGAACCGTCCATAACACAGATCTGGCAAATGGCTTTTGTACTCTGAGCTTCATATATCATCGATATGGCCATATCGGGGGGTTCAACAACCCAGAAAGTAAGATATGTAGCAAAGGAAACCGCCAGAAGTGGGAGGAGCATCGACGTTTCGCTTTTATAGTAGCTTTCCTGGGGCTTTTAGTATTTCCAAGGAATGATGGGAACATTGACATAAAAATAGCTGGGGTCGTCAGCACGTTAATTACTCAAGCCAAAAGTACACTTGCACCTATGATATTGGCCGACATCTTCCGTGCT